GGAAACAAGAGTTTGAAGACCCAGCCGGTGAGTTTGGGATTGCCTGGGGGCACGGTGTCAGGCTGGAGAAACTGGCTGAGCCGCTGGAAGGAATCTGCCCCGACCTGCAGTAACCCCGCGTGCCCCAGCGCTGCTGGGAATCTGCTCTGATCTTTGGTAGCCCTCGCAATGCAGGCAGGCATCGCCCCACCTCGCCGCCTGCCTCCGGCGTGCCAGTGCTCCTCGCCTGTCGGCAAAGCCCGGCGCTGCATCCCCTGTCACGTTCTGCTTCGGGGCCATAGTTCTTCCTCTGAGGCTGCCTGAATTGACCGTAACCTCTTTTACAAGGTGGCCCTGTGATGGCCTCTTGTCACGACGGTAGCAAAAAATGCCGTCCCTAGCAGGCAGAGGGTTGGCAGTGACACCGCGGTGGAGCTGCCGTGCCCGTGAGAGGGCAAAACAGGCTCATGTTCGTACAAGCAGAAGCTGAACAGGTAGGCCAGAAAGCGAGCTGCTGCCTGACGTGTTTCGGGTGGCTGCCGCAGCACCCACCCTCAGTGTGGTGTTCGGGCACCACCGAGAGCCGAGATGTACGGTGGCTTTGCGTTGCTGTGGGTCGTGAGGGAGCTGAGGGGTCTTGGGTCCCGGCAGCTCCCGGGTCGTACGGCTCACTGAGCAGCTGGGACAGAGCCTCTGAAGACGCTCCCAGTCGCAAGGCTGCTGGAGAGAAAGAGGAAGATTAAGGACAGGAACGCTTCCAATTACTGTGTTTCTGAAATTTTAATTTTTTTTCTTTTTTTTTTTTGGTGGGTGGCACAATAACTGGGTGAAAAGCAGAGGTTCAGCAAAAGCTGACGATAAACACCACTAAAACTACCCGACGCGTTCCGATTATCCACATTTACCATCCCGTTAAGCGGCAGCCGCTGCTCTCAGGTTGTCAGTGGGCTAAAGTCCGCTCCTGGCAGACATCCTAGCTAAATGCTTCACAGGTCCTCTGCACGGGCTGTGTTGGAGAGGCAAAGCCCAGGGCCTTACAAGGACATGGCATGTTGTAGAAGGATTTTCAGAGGGTGGTCAGGAGAGTAGCATCATTTCATCTGATTCCAGCTGCTTCAGCCTGTCCCGATTTGGAAGTGGGAAGATCGGATCAGAGGCAGTAAATCTCCCGACGGCGGAGGAAACGTGGTTGCCCTTCTTTTCTTCTGAAGTGCTTTCAGTCAGCCCGGTAATGGGACTTGGCAGGGATCTGCAAGTACGTTCCTGACCTTGCGTGGTCTTCCTTTGTGCGGGGCTCTCCTGGCTCGCGTGAGATGGCCGCGCTGCTCCCCGAAGGCTGGAGTTCCTCTGCGCTCGGCTGCTTCCCCGCTTCCGCCTGGCTTCCCCTCGGGTCGCAGAGGGAAGGGACGAGCACAGGAGGGGTGCTCCCCTGGAGAGCTTCGGAGCAGCTCCTGCAGGGCCCTTGGAAACACTGGAGGGTTTATTTTTTTTGAAAGAAGCGACTGAAGCTGGAAAGCGCTCAGTGTCTACTGAATCTGGCCCAAGGTGTCTTCAGCTGGCGACCGCAGAGGAGGCGCATGGCTGCAGGACCTGTGCGTTTAACCGCGAGGCTGAAGGCCCCTGACTGGAGCTCCACTGCCGTACGCACCTCGCTTGGTTTCGCTGCCTCACTCTCCCGATCGGGGCAATGGGAAACCTGGGTTTGGCCTCTGACCGCGCTGCTGGCTGTGATCTCAGGGCCAGACACTTAATCTCTTCTTTTCCCTTGTCAGTTAAGCTGGAAACATCCAGGCCAACTTGACAGTGGACTGTGGGGATTAATGAGTTTGTTTGCTCAGCGCTCTAGAAATCTAAAGCATGAAATTAGTGTTTTCAAGGCGTTTGCTGCAGCTTAGCGAAGCAAAGAGCATCTTTCAGCCTCCCAAGCTGTGCAGCCTCCCCGGAGCTCAGAGGGAGGTGCTTGGCATTCAAGGGCGAGAAGAATAAGCGCGCATGGCACACGCCTTTCGAGTGCCGAGGGAGAGGCAGAGGCTTGAGGAAAACAGGAGATGAGAGCCGTGCTCTAGAAATGCTGGTCTGCATCCCCGGAGCTGTGGGTTCGGTTGCAGGCACGGTCACAAATCTCATTTGTTCCTTCCCATGTACAGCCTGCCTTTCTCTGACAAGACCTGGAAAGCTGAAGGGCTTATTATGTGGCGCTGCCGTTGAAGTGCTCGTGATTTATGTTTGAGGAATCCAGGAATTTGCTCTGGTTTTAGCTGTACGGCACACCCTTCCCCCTTCCCTGGGTCTGCTGTGCTCGCTGGCAGCTGCCCTAAACCCCGCAGTGCTGAGTGGCTCTGTATGTATCTAATTAGGTGAGCGCTTGGGATGTTATTTGCATGGAAATATTACTCCAGGATATGCTGCGACGCTGGGGTTTGCTGAGTCAAGACAGTTGTTCAACTGGGACGGCCAGAGTCTCGCCTGTCCTTGCACCCAGTGCCTTAGACTGGTTGTTGTCTGGAGAGGAGCCTGAGCAGGGCTGGCTGAAAGGCTGCTGGGATCGGGGCAAGGAAATACCGTGAGATGGAGCTACGGGATGGCAAGTTCTGGTCTTCCATCAGGGGAGGCGGTTTATAGAGAGGAAAGGGCTGTGTCTGGGGTGACTTTCCCCCACGCCTGAGAAGCCTTGCTCCTTGCACGTTGGCACGGGGAGCGCACCCGGAGCCATGGGGATGCCGCGCAGCAGAGTGGCACGTAGGAGTGCTCGTGTCGGGGGTGATGGGGACCGTCGAGGTCCTGCTTGGCTTGTGCGAGAGGGAGCTGGAAAATGCGGCAGAGGGGAACCAAATAAACTGTGGTCCCTGTGGACTCGTACTGATGGACTTCGACATCTTGGCTAGAAGCTGAGAGTCTGCTACCCTGCATTAGTGGAAAAAAATCTCCTTGTATTCCCTTGCTGCTTGGTAGTCCCCATGTTACCTCTTGAGCTTCACGACCTCTTTGCTGGCATCTGCTTTCCCAGGCAGATTTGCCTTGGTTTACTAAAACGGCTTTGGTTCGCTGGGGCAGAGTGGAATGGACGTGGTGTTTCGTCTGTCAAAAAATGCTCTCCCAGCCCAGGCCACCAAGGAGTCTTCGAGCTTCCAGCTGCACCACTCCCATATCCTGAAAGTGAGGACATTCAAAATGAAGGTCGTGGATGTTTAGAGGGCAGTTGATACATCAACCTTGCTGTCATGGCTTCTCCTGTGTTCCCAAGCTGGTATTTTCTTTAAAATGTTCTCTAGGCAAGGAAAATAAAAACTTAGGGAAAAAACATCTCCCAGTGGAAATTAGTCATAAATACAAAAAAAGGCACTAGTTTTCACATCAAAGGAAAGGCTGCGGCCGAAGCCTTTTCTCTCCAGCACACAGAAGGGGACAAGTTGTGTTATTTTGAATGGGCTGAGTTCTGTGCGTGTATTTGCATGATGTTTCGGAAAGGTGCTTAACGCGGAGCTGAACCTCCAGCCCATCCTCTGCGTGCCTGCCGCGTGTGCTGCTGCAGCAGCGAGGGGCTGGGGG